GCATCATATAGTGTCAAGACAAAGTGAGACTTGTGACCAAAATATGCCTTTTGTGATAAAAATGATTGAAATCTGTAAAATTCTGTAAACAAGACTACATACGTTATGTTTCTTTGTCAATTATCTTTGAATTCACTGATGAACAAACATTGTGTTCACATGCCGCCATAAAGATGTGAAAGCCAACAAAGGCCTTTGTAACGCTCATATCTACAGCTGCTCTGCATCAAGTGAATGCAGCACGAGATGAGGAGAGCGCAGGGATGACATAATAAATCAAGACAATGAAACAATGGACAAACTCCTGAACCAATGTGCACTTGATTTGCCTTCGTGGCATGAGAGTGATTCTAAATGGATTCATATGCTTTCATTTTGTAGGCGTGAAGCAGATAATACATGACCGACTTGTTTTGGTGAGTGCTGATCATAGATGGAGGAAACACTACAAATCTGAGCAGATGTCTGCAGATATTCACACATTCCAGGCTTCTCTACAAACTGGTTAAAAGGAAAGGGAAGTTTGATACCACCCTCAAGTCGGTACACTTTAATGGAAGCTAAAACCAGCAACCAGTTAGCTTAGCACAAAGAGTGGAAATGGGAAAACAGCTAACCTGGAAGTGATGACGCCTAGCCAAGACCTAGTTCATCAAATGAAGCATAAAACAACAAATTTGTGTACAGAAAATATAAAAAGATATAGATACATAATGTGTTTATACTTGAACTTAAGGCCCTGGCAGGTGGATCTTTATCCTCACTTACAGCGAGCAGCAATACCTCCGGGCCTGAAAATGGAGCCAATGTGGAAGTGCCAAAAACTGCAGTTTCTAGAATGGCCACTTGAGACTGGCCCCAAAGACCCCCATGTTAAACTCCCCAGCTTTACAGCAAAAAATAAACATGTTTACAGGCTGGTACAAAAAAATAACAAGACAAACAAAACAAAATACTCAAAGCAGCCCTTCCCTTGAACATGCATAACTTTGGGCTTTAATAAAATATAAACAGCTAAGTTGTATAAAAATTCACCCCCCTACAGTTGTCATAAATGGCGAAATTAGCTATAGCGACTGAAACCATTTTTGTACCAGGCTGTAAACATGTTTATTTCTGCTGCAAAGTTGGGCATTTTCACATGGGAGTCTATGGGAATTGACTCGCTCTTGAAGCCAGCCTCAAGTGGCCATTCAAGGAACTGCAGTTTTTGGCACTTGGCATTGTCTTCATTTTTCAGCCCTGGAGTTGCCACTTGTGCAAATCCTAAATATTTCAGTGTAACTGTCTACAGTGTAAGAGTATTGTAAATATTTAAGATGAACATTCCTCTTTGAGCCAAATGTGTTGTACAATTTGTGCCGTGTATACTTGGTGAGTATATTGTAAAAAGTTTGTTGTATTCACTGTTGTATTTGGGCATTTAAACATGAGAAAACATATGAAAGCAAGAAGACATAGCTTTGTTGTTTTGTTGTTGGCCTCAGGTTCAGGTTTCTGCTTTGCTGCTGTGGTTGGTGATTTGTGTTCCCTGGGCCTCTCAGCTGTCTACTCTCTCTGTTAACCAGTTCCATGTGGATTTGCCTGAGCAATCGAAACCACATGTTTTTAGTGATGAGAAGCCTTTTAGTCACTTTTTACAGTTGTAACTGTTGTAATTTGTTTCACAAGAGAGGCATGGTTGTCAATAGGGCCTTCCTTTAAAATCCAACAATAACAACATGCTCAGGTTTTATTTCCCACAGAATTCAGCTGAGTTATGCCAGATGATTTGTAGCTACCTCATCTTTGGCACTTGCATGAAAAAAAAGGACAGCAGAGAGCTCCAGATTGCTCAAGCTTCCTATACTTCATCACAGTGAAATAGGGGGGCTAGCATGAATGGGAGGCAAATGCAATTCTTGTGGATAGATAACAAGTTAAGGTATCATTACTTTACTTTAGCAGCTATTTGTCTTTTTCAGCATGATTTTAACACGAAATAATAAAATATCAGATTTTTCTCACGCAGCAGCCTTCTCAGTCACGACCTGTTTTATATGTTTTTTAAAGGTCTCTAGAAAGTTAAAGTCATTACTTCTAATGAAGAATGACAGTTGTGCTGTTCTTTTTGTGCTGACTTGCAATGAACACTTTCTTCTGAGAAAGCAGTCCATAGTCATCCTACAGTATGAACTACACCGGACATCTGTTTTTCATTTCTGAATCATCCAATGGGCCTTTGAAAGTTTCGCAAGATCAGACTCAAATGCAAATTGTTAAAAGGTGCTTGAGCATTTGGAGGAACTTTTGCATATAGTTATTAAGCAATGTTTTTGTGCAGAGTTTGCTATTCGTGGGAAATGAAGAGACTGGAGGAAAGAATGAGAGAGGAGTACTGGGTGGTGGTGGTGGTGCCAAGAGATGGAATGATAAACATGTGACCCAAAACGGAAACAATTACAGACCCCACGTCAGAGTCAGGGCGAGTCATGCAGCTTTGGATGACACACACCTAAACACGCAGCTAAACACACATCCTGCAGCCGACGTCATGATGTCAGGCACTGAGGCATTCCAGGATTTTCATGCACTTTCAGCCGTCTGTACAGTGGGAAGTGCTGAGTTTGTTTACTTGTAGTTAGGTGTGCGCCTCCTAGATAATCACGTAGGCCAAATCCCTTACAAACTCCAGCATAACAACAAGAAGAGAGATTAGAATTCTTTCAACAGATGAAGCCATGTCAAAACAAGACAGAGAAAAAGCACAGAACACTCTGCAGCAGTTCTTATCATCTGAGCAAAAACTAAAGACTTCCCATTTCATCATATTCCCTGAAAGTTTGCCATTCAGTGACAAAGGCCAGATTCATATTTCTTCCACCGTTCTGTAAATATCCAATTAGTGAGCTTTACATAAGTGAGACCTCCTGTTGTCACAGTAACTGGCTGAGGTTCTTGCTCTCTGGTCTGTAACCATTTTTAGACGACCTCCTCTCTCGCCTTTCATGAGAGGTCAGGAGAGTGACTTGTTTGCTTTCTCAAACAGCTCAGTGCACTTGTCATTAATGGGCTGTTGCCAAAGACTTTTTATGAGGAATTTTTTAATGTGTTTGTCTTCATCTGTAAAGCACATGCTGTAGCATATTAGAATTTTAGAGTAAGGTGAACCACAACAATAAATAACCATTCTGTTAAAACAGAACCCGGGAGAAGCGGAAGCATTATGTAATCATCATTTTATAACAGTGTTTGATGGTGTTAGAATTGCATTACTTATATTTACTCCATACATACTTCCCACCTGAATTTTGGGAAGTTGTTACTAAACTAGTGAGTGTAATAACAACATTAAAGGGACAGTTTGGCCCAAAATCAAAAAATACACATTTTCCCTCTTACGTGTAGTGCTATATATCAATCTACATTGTTCCAGTGTAACTTGTGGAGTGTTGGAAATATTTGCCTAAGAATGTCTGCCCTCTCCTGAATATAATGGCTCTAGATGGCCCTCTGCTCAACAGCAGTGTCTGTCTACAGAAATCATGACCCAGTTACTCAAGATAATCCACAGACCTTTTTGTGAGCAGTTTCATGTAGGAACCATATTCTTTCTACAAACTACACCCATCATCCAGTTCCATTATATTTAGAGGGCAGACATCTCTACGACTGATATCTCCAACACTCTGCAACTCACACCAAAACAATCTAAACTGATAGAAAGCACCACTTGTAAGACTGTCCCTGTAACATTGGTCATGTTGCAAAGCCTCTCAAAAGAAACCTTTTTTTCCTTGTTATCCATATTATCTCTGATTTTTGTTACACATATGTATTTTACTCTTTGATTTTTATCCTTGACCTCAATTCAGCTGCTGTAGCATTGGGCATTACTCAAACAGAGCAAAGACAACTCACCTTTAAGGGCGACACACATTCTCAACAACAAAGAAATAATAGAAATTTCTACACATTTCAGAGCATGAAGCTGATCTGTAGCTTCCATTCATCTCCATTGTGCTTTGGCACAGTACTCTTTGGCTCTTGTTTGACATTCACAGAAAAAAACAGAACAGAGAGAGATACTGTAGCCCAGAACTTTGTTTATTGTTCACACTTTCTCTTCACGAACAGGTTTTTCATCACAGCTGTCTGCATCTGCAAGCTGTCAATGTGTGCAGCAGGCCATCTATTTTGTTCATTAGCAGACCTTCCACTCAGTTTCCCATGGTTCTTTGTTTGTGTGTCAAGTATGAACTATGAACTGTGAGCTGATACTGTTGGACTAAATGATCTGAATGTCAGCAATGCATTGTATCATTGGTCTAGCAGCATCTTCCTAAGATAATAGAAAGGAAAGTTGACAGACCAAAGATGCTTTGATTGGTAATTGTAATGTGTAAAAATAAATCATGTACAGTTAACTGTGAAAACACCATCAGTGTGGCATTTTAGCTCAGAATATTTACGCTCATCTTGATATGAGGTAATCCTGAAGACATTTTGATGGTGAGAAAATGTTCTGAAACACTAACCATCAACAATTAACTGAATACTTCACCCACAAAATAACCATTTGTATATATGTTACTAAACCCTCGTTAGGTTGAATTCATGAGGAGGACTTTGTTTATCTCACATGTTTTCACAGTGAAAGAAGAATCCAAAACAATTGAGACATTTGTTTGACAAAACTCAATCAAAACATCTGTTTAGAGACTTTCACACAACTTGAGCAGTGTAATCCACGTCTCAGCTATATGCTCTGTACTTCCCAAACACATGCATATTTGCTAAAACCTTTCCAATTAAAACACTTTCGCATAAATAGTCTCAGGCATGGACGATGCACAAGCAGAAATGCATGTGCGCACAATTCTTCATTCACTGTTAAAACAAAGTTTTCTTCACAAATTCAGGGTAACACTTGTCATGTAATTTATGTACAAATGGTTATTGTGTGGCTGAAGGATTCCTTTAATTTATAGATAAGAAGACTTTCCATTTAGAATTTGTTAAATAATTGTTCTTTATTGTTTTAGAAATCATTGCCATTTCTCTTCCCAACATAGTTAGTTTTGTGCTGCGAATGCATTGTCATGGATACACAACCAGCTTTACACCAAGTAACTTACACATGTACATATATAGTTATCTACTCTGTTGTAGAAATCAATAAATTAAAACAATAAATAGTCTCTTATTTGACACAAGCAGCAGAGGTATCAAAGGGCTTTTAAACAAAGAAACTGTATTTCTGTGACTGTATTTCCTTTGGGTATCCATAAAGACAATGTGACAAGGTGCCTCCTTTTCCACTCTCAAGTTTGGCCGTCAGGTAATAACTGTCCAAAAAGGTCATTCTTACCATAAAAGTGATGGATGACTCAACTGAGTTGGAGATATGTTAGGGGCACATGCTACTAGGTCAGTGAGTTGAGCCAGTTAAGATTGTTTATTGCCCAGGAATGTGGACAACCCCTGCCCCCAGCGTCCTGTCCCACTCCCCCATCCCACCACCTCAAATGTTGCCCAAAACAGCGTCCAGTTCTCCAAGCCTGAGTGGTGGCATACATGTTTCTCAATCCCCCACACCTTGCTATCGCTGTAGCTTGGGGGAGTGGAAAAGAGGCATGTGAAGTAGGAAACAAGGTTGAGATTGATAACCCTGCCACTAGGACCCCAGCACAGCGCCTACGTATCAGGAGGCTGCAGGAGGCAAGAGGTCGGCCTGGAGAGTTCATGTCTTGTCAGGTTGCCTCATTGGAGGGGGGGGTGGTCATTTCACAGCTTCAGAACACATGAAGTGCTGATTAGTGTTCGCATTGAGAGGGGGAGGCCAGAGATAAGTGGAGAGGAAGACAGATGTCAGAGGGAAGGAGAGGGAGGGGGACAACTGGCCCACTGGTTCCCACCAGGCCGCACACGCCGTAGGATGTTTTGGGGTCTGTCCTTTTGGAAAATTTGGCGTCAATACTGGCAACATGTTGACTGTAGATCTGCAGCATTTCCACTGTCTGAATGATGGCAACTGATTTTGATGCCTTTAAATGGAGAACTTATTTCTGTTTTGTGGTTTAAAACATATATTAGTCCACAGTCATTAATTTGAAGAACACATAGTTTCATGAATAGTTAATGTGCACTTCCAGTCTCACTGAATTACCCTTACAGAGATTCCAATGATTGCCCCTTTGTTGAAGACAGCTTTGGCTAACCTCCTTTGTTAGCTTATTTGCAGTTCTTTGTCTTTTCTCTTGTTGTAAGACTTTACGAAGAGTTAAACTCTCTGAAAGCATGGACTATCTGCAGCCACACTCAGCCACCACCATGCCTTCAAACTTGTACTTGTAGGTGACCACGCCTGTATCATCCAAGTACAGCAGAGAGATGGGGTCCAGCTTGGTGGGCACGCAACAAGCTCGTGCCGCCTTCTGAGGACTGTTGATGTTGATCAATGTCTGGACAATGGCATGCTTGGTGGGTGTGACATGCTTCGTCAGCGGGAAGGAACAAATGCCAGTGCACTCAAAGGCATCGTAACCAGTGGGTGCCAGGATCCAACTGTCCCATCCGATGTCCTTGAACTCTACATACAGAGATTGTTTCTTGCAGTGGTTTCCCTTGGCATTGCGCCGAATGCGGGATGCTGTGTCGTAGATCAGATTGGAGCGCATTTGAATGAGGTCCTCTTCATCTGGCTCTGCTTCTTCATCTCTCTCATCCCTGTCCCTCCCCAGCTCCCCCCACAGCCCATTCAGGCCCGTCCCCAAGTCATTCTGGAGAACCATGTTAGAGGTTTCATGGTCAATCATCTCGTTCAGCTCGCGTTTGTCATCACGGTGATCGCTACTTTGGTCATCGGAAAAAACAATAAGCAGAGGTTTGTGTTTTTCTTCCGGGCTGGTGTCAATCTTCATGTCCCCTTCAGGTGGATTCCTGTCTTTGTTGTCCTTCATCATACTTTGAACGTTATCTTCATCAGCTATGCTGGCAATGTGTACCTCCAACTGGTGCGTGGTGCCACGGTCAGATCTGCGCCAGCGTTGAACAGCAGCAGTGAGGTCAAAGGCCTCCCAGCCATTATCTGTGCCGTAGACCTGACGTGAAGCCAACTCCACTAGCTCTATCCGCTCTTCTCCCCCTCTGAATCCATCACCTCTCATGGTGTTCTCATCAGTCACATTGTCGTCTCCAACCTGCAACTCCAGTTCGTAGACCGTGACCTTGCGGTCGACACCAGCATAGAGGTGGCGGTCAGTCTGGACAAGGGTGTAGAGGCGAAGCTCGGCTGCTGTGACACGTTCATGATGGGGAACTGACACATTGAAGAGGAGTGGGTGACGCCTTACTCCTCCAACGCCCACAACACTGGGAGATGAATCTGGGGAAGAGAAATAATTGCAGTCTTTTTAATGAGGTTTTCCCTTGAGTTTTGCAATGTATCCTAAATCTATTCTGACCTAACTCTACTGAGGATTTCATCACCAGTTTAATCCTTCATTGGGAAATATTAGTTATATCTTAATTTTATTGCATGTAAGCAACATTTTGATATGAGCATTGCCTCAAACAGAGGAGTAGCAAAAAACAGGGCCATGACTAAAGCTTGGATTTAAACAACTAAATTTTGGTTCATACATGCTTGAAGCTACAGTCCACTAAAAAGTATACATATACAAGAAGACCCTTGTTCCCACTTTCACCATTTACAATTCTTTGCCTTCCAGACCAGAGTGTGATGAGAAAAACAAACTAATAGTTAAATGAAAAAGTAGTTTTTTCATCAATCTATGTGATCAACAGGAGCATCATCACTTGGGGCAGGGGATCTTTACCTTCATTTTTGAAGCTGCGGATGATGTTGGCAGTGGGCATGGCAGTGTGGTCATTAGCAAAACGGTTGTAAAGCTCCATCATGTACTCAGGCGGCTCCTCTCGTGCGCTCCCAGGGGCCAGGTGAGGAGGACCCAAGCCAGACAGGTTGAAAGTCCGCAGAAACTGTTCCTTTAGGCTCTCCAGCAGGCTCTGCATGTTCATGTTGTTGTCCTGCTCAAGCAGTGATGGATCCACCACCCCCCCATGCCCGTCTCCCAGCCCAGGAGCGGGGCGATACCTCTGATGGGTATTGGAGATTGGGCTGCTCTGTCCACAGAGTGGCCAGTGGAGTAGCAGGATGGAAAACAGCAAGAGCAAAGTCTTGGAGTTGCAGATGGTTCCCAGCTGAGAGACCCAAATGCTCGCCATGGGAAAAGCAATCTGCAGATTTCTGTTGTATGCCCTCTGGGGTTGTCTATAGATGAGCTGATGTAAGAGTAAGATAAAATATTTATGATCTGTAAATGCCTTAATCCAAAGGTTAATTGAAATTGGGGTCCGTAGGCAAAAAAAATCTGGATCCCTTGCAGCAGACAGTAGCGTTGTTGACCCTTGTACTGACCACTGTGAGCTTCTCTGCACGTTTGTGTGTTCCTGCAGCTCTCTTCCAGATCTTACAGCATTTATTCGCAAGCACACCTTTTGATGTCCTGTGTCACAAGGCTGCAGTTCCAGTGACAGGGTGGTCGAGTCTAGGCTTTGTTCGTCAGAGTCATCTCTGTCGCACCCTCTCCTCTGTCAGTCTCTCTCTGTGTTCTGCTCTCTTCTTTCCAGCCCTTTCTTCTGTCCCTTATCTATGATATGGTGGGCTCTGCATTGCTCAGTGCTTATGGTCTCTTTGCTGGTGTGTGTGTGTATGTGTGTGCGTGCGTGCCTGCCTTCAACTTTGTGTGATGCACATGAGCGTGTGTTATCTCACAACTTCCTTAATGAGGATTTTGTAAACACTGTCCTGTAGCCTCTTCCTTGTGGAAGTGCTATTTTGTTTGGGTGGGTGCTCCAGAGTTGATATTCTTCATTTGTTTATTTGCTTTGTAAATGGTGGAGTTCTGCAAGCTGCCATCTAGGCTCCATTGACCATTTCTTTTTTGACAAAATACACCAAGGCTCTGTTGATATCACTGAATGTAACAGGATATATCCATTAGACAACACTTGTCCGAATGAAATTGAAAAGCAATGAAGTGTGAGGCCTTAATGATCAAGGATGAAAGATACCGAGCTGACAGTGGGTCTGGTTGATGTTTCAAGGAGTACAAAATAATCATTTCATTCACCAAAGTGACCCCCCACCCCCCAACCACAACCACCACCCCAACCACCACCACCTCACTGTGCTTGATAAAAATGTTCTGCGTACTTCCTTTTCTAGTGAATTGACGTAGTGTCTGAAATAGGTTATCTGGGCCCAAGAGCCCAGCAAGGTACAACTCAAGAATAGATGTTTTCAAGAGGGTACACAGAGCTTTACAGAGACACGTATACACTGTACATGGTGAAGCAGACCGGCGCTGCTACTAAGAGGCTGGTCAGATATTACAGTAACAGAGGTGGAACCATGTCATTGTTTTTCAAATCCCAAGTTAAGACTGACAAGTCTTGAGTTAAGTCCCAAGCCCAGAATGAAGAATCTTAAGCTAAGTCCCAAGTCCTAAACTTTGAGTTTCAAATCTGAAACAAATCATAAAGTGCTCCTGAACAAATATAATGTCCTTTTAACAAAAATGCAATAATATATTCAATTTACAAAAATCATGAATGTTATGTTTTTGAATTTGTATTTATTTGTTTAATAACTTTGTTGGGAGTTGTTGCATCTTTTTAGTTTCTGACCTGCACGTTTTGCATTCTGCAAATTTGTTTTTTGGTTAGTTTTTGCATGCAAACAAAATTATCTTTGGTTAAAAGGAAAATCCACCTGGCACTAACTAACGTGATGTCAGTTCGTGGTTCTCGCCTGCAACTTGACTGAATGCTGTCGAACTGGTTCAAACAAAGTGGATCTGAAAAATTATCTGTCAACTTGCTGGGAATGGATAGTGTTACTGTAAGTTGATTCAGGAAGTGAACTTATTTGTGGCACACTTTTTAAATAACGTACTTTTTAATCTTTGGGCTTCGGGGAAGGTATCAAGTATTTTCAAGTCAAAAGGCTCAAGTCCAAGTGAAATCACGAGCCACTGTTGTGTCTAAGTCAAGGTGCAAGTCTTTTTTGATTTTGTCATGTCAAGTCTATAGTCATGAAATTTGCAACTTGAGTCTGACTTCAGTCCAAGTCACGTGACTTGAGTCCACACCTCTGGGGACTATAATGACTCACACTGGCTCCTCAACAGATTTCAATAGGTCATCCATTCGTCACCTGAACCCTCATCCCACTACACAACCATCTGTCATTCCTGAGCTTCTTTGTGTGACCTGCAGATACACTCCTGATTGTTGCGCGTCACAGAGATGGGAAAGAATGAGCTTTTCCTGCCTCTGTCACTCATCTGCCAGGCTGACAGTTGACAGACATGCTGTTATCTGTGATCCTGTTAAACTGCTGCCACAACAGACTGTCACATCTTCCTAATGGCTGTAAGAAGGCTTGATAATGGCAATATCCTTTTGCACACACAAAGACACACATACACACACGCACACACACACACACACACACACATTCACACAGTAACCCCAGCATCCATATGGTCTCTATCATGGACCCAAGGGTGAAACCAATGTGGATTTCCAAAGGCTAGGGTTACTATTTTCGGACTGAACCTTCCAACTGACAATATTTTGTGTGGATATCAAATATCCAAATTTGGCGATTTCCATGTTTCCCATTCAGTGTTGTGCTTTTTAGGATGGAAAATGTATGGAAAACTAATGCACTCACAGAGGATAACACCATTACCACAAAATAAATTGCAAGATCAATTCAGGTTAAATGCTTTTTTAGGAAGCTACCAATCAATCTTACAAAAGTGTGTGTATCTAAAGCAGTATTGAATGATTGCAGTGAAACAACATGGACATATTCCCACTGTTAAATGTCATTATGAAGAATGTGTTGGTAAATGATTCACTATGACATATTCAGCAGACACAGAGCGATGTTAGCATTCATTTGGAGTCATGTTTCTCTCTGATTGAATTATAGTGATATCTGATCTTTTTGGAATGCTAGCGACATGGCTGTCTGGATGACAGTGCTGTTTAGTCTGTGGGGTCAGCCAACAATATATGAACAGCGACTACAAGGACTGACATTAAAGACATTCACAGTCAATTTCCACCAAAGTGGACCTGGTACTCACTACTTCACAATACCGGTGTTGCATTGAAGTCTGTTTCCTCATGGATATGTGTTTCCCCTTACCCAAACCCTTGAACCCTATCCCTAACCACCAAGAGGGGCATTATGCATTAACAGGAAGGGGATGAAATTTAACAGGGGAACACATTTCAATACAACATTGGCACTTCTACATTTTGCTCTTTGGTGTACCTTGATTTTTTCTCTTCTCTGCTCTCTCCATATCATTATCTTTGGGTGATTCATAAAGGCCCTAAACAAACTGGATTGCCCAGGGGGCACTGGGGGGACTACATTGGCTACTCAGGGGGCACTACGTGAAGCTCATTTGCTCTTGCTCTCGCCCGCCTGCTTTTATCAGTCTAAGTATTGTTACATTACAGTTGTGTTGGCCTAGCTCCTAAAGGGCAAAACAAAAAGAGGACAAGCACAGTCAGAAGATGGCACAACATAATTACGACAGTGAAATCCTACATTACTAAATGCAGGCCTGCAGCAACGAGCTAACGTTAGTGCCACTAGCAGCAAAGAGCATTGGTAAAACCACCAACGGCTAGTGATGAGCAGAACAATTCATATATATTTCGACCTCAAACACTGATTTTGATTTCATCATGCCCAATACTTTAACTGCTCATGTTCAGCCCTAACTGCACTTTGTGATTGGTGCAAATTAGCAAATGTTGGCATGCTAACACAGTAAAACTAAGATGGTAAACATTCTACACACATAAACATTTTACCGTGGTCAGTAGCAAGCTGATGTTAACATTTAGCTCAAATCACTGCTGTGCCTTAGCATTGCCTCGCAGAGCCACATGGCTGTAGAATTGTTAATAAAGACCTGATGTAATAGTTTGACCCTGCCTGCAGGTTCTACCACCATGTACAATGTCCACTGCTTTCAGGCCTGTATCTATTTTTCATGTCCCTGACAGGGCGTGGCCTTTATATTTGCTTTTTTCTTCGAATGTACATAAGCAATCTATTGGTATCTTAAAGGCAGTCATCACTGTTTTCAGCAATGATGCATGAATACTTAAGGTAATTGATGTGTTGCTCTTGTAAATATGTGGTGTAAGATTATTTTATGCATCAACAAAAACACTTAAATGTGCACTGTTTTATTAATTTACCATTTAAATGGAACATCAGATAATGGACTACTCACTCCATGTATGACACACAGTATTTGTACTGCCCACCATTAACAATATTGAGTCCACATGATCTTTAAACAAAGGGTTCATTCTGTGTTGATGTTGTCCAGCCTTGCAATTCTTTGGACACACCAGATCAAGGCAGTTTAAATACGGTGACATGACTTCTGGAGCAGGAAGGAACAATCTGTTTAAGTCCTTAATGTCAATAGTGATATGAAAGCCTATTTAGATCTCTTCTTGACACACTTTCTCACAGGCACAAATAAATGAGCCAATAATTAATACTGAGGACCAAACAGAGTTCAAATGGAAACAAGCCAGTGTCATCCCACTGGGGGGGGACAATAGTATATTCCATTACCAGTTCACGTTGAAATAACTCTGTTGAGGTTAACGGACTCATAAATCCATATACTAGTGAGTCTGAGAATTACTGTTAGGTGGGAGCTTGTGGCACTTTGGTGAGGAACTGCTGAATGTCTCTCTGCAGCTCCTCGTTGCGTTTCTGGGCCTCATCGCGGCTGCGCTCAGCATTTCTCAGGCAGATCTCAAGAGCAGCCACACGGCGGCGTTCTGCCTCCAGAGCAGACTGGAGCTCTGCCACTGTGGCCTTCAGCTCCTTGTTCTCCTGCTGCAGACTGCAAGAGACAGTGAGAGACAAAGACGGTTCAGACAAAGGGTCAGAAAGGCAACTAATCATCACTGAAACATCAAATCAATCCAGTCCAAAAAGATGTCTGTCGATGTCTAATATTGAGTCCTAAAATTTGATTTACTTTATAAAAGCAATATTCTGCCAGTAGAGACAGATTACTACGCCTGTTTTCCATGCAAATAAACTTGTTTCAAGAGCTTCCTGGAAGTATTGTCATTTTCTTGATCCTAGTCCAGTGACCTACTTTACTCTGTCAAATTATCGCTCTCATCTCTAAAATATTCCCATAACAAGAAATACTCCACCTGGAACAAATGTAAAAATTAGTATCAATATAAAATGAAACTAGCTGTCAAAACACATATGTTTTGCAGGTGCCACATGCCCTCAGGAAAAAAAAATCTATGACATTATTTTCTTGGTGTTTTGATCCAATCGTAGCGCTTGACTTGACACACTGAATGCTCCTCCTTGGGTTGCAAGAGTTTGATAAATATCCTTGCAGTTGCATAAAGAATTCCTTAAAATAGTCATTTTTACATTGCATAACTATTTAATCTATGATATGACCTTAAAACTTATATCACAAAGTGTGTACCACATAAT